AAAAAAAAAAAAAAAAAAAAAAAAAAAAAAAAGGCCTCATTTTACACTCAATAGCATTGCAGCTCTGACATAGTCTAAGGCACCCCACGGGGTCCAGGAAGATGTGCCCTGTGTCTCTCCCTGCTGTGTCACCCTGTGAGCGGTGGGCCGCCTCACCTGCCAGCCCTTGTCGGCCGTCCTGTAGTACGGGTAATGTCTGGTAATGTGCGCATAGATGCCGCTTAGTGTTAGCTGCCTGTCCGGGGCCGAGGAGATGGCCTGCACGATCAGCTGGGCGTAGGAGTACGGTGGCTTCGACTCATCCTGCACAGAGACAGGGATCACGAGGTCACTTGGTGATGCCTTCATGCCACCAGCCCACAAGGAAAACCTCCCCATAAGGGTGCCTGGGTCTGGACCAACTCCATCCCAGAAACCCTCAGTTCAACTGGCTTGCATTAACTCGCAGTTGCCACTTCTGCCTCATGGGAAGGAAAAATGCAGTTTCTAATGTAGTTTAACTCTGAATTGTCTTTCCCCCGATACATTATACCAGGTCTCAGGGAGAAAAGAACAAAAGTGCACCCTTATAAGGAAGATGTGGTGTGCTTCTCGGAGACTATCATTACGACTCAAGAATGGTCTTGCGGGAGCAGACAGGACGATGGGAGCGGGGTTGCAGCACTGACCTCAAGTCACTGAAAATGGCCACATTCATCATTTGGGCAGGTGAGGCTGGAAGGCTGCTGGTTCTCCCAGCTACCCAGCCACATGTGAGCCCTAAAGCACCATGTGTGCCACCCGCAGGGACCCTACTGTCCGGTTCTGTCACTACAGGTGCTGAGACTCTGACCTTGGGGCTGTCCCCGCCAGAAGTGTCTGCCTGCTGCTCCGAGGCGGCCTTCGCTGCGAACTCCGCAGCGAGCTGCAGGTCTGAGGTCACATTCTGGACATAGCGGTAACCAGAGGACCCGGCTCCACGTGGACTGGCTGGACAAGAGTTGGGAACACTGCAGGGAGGAAAGGACACATGGTAAATTTTTGTCTCTAGAGGGAGGACTCTGTGCAGGGTTCCAGGACCACCTGGATGATGGGGGACTCACTACTGTCCCCGTCGCACACAGCAGTACAGCCCTCTTCAGGGGATGGGGCATACCCAGGGCAGCGGTCTCAGCTTGGGTATAGGATCCGGCGATGAAACATGTGGTCTCCCAGAAGCAGCCTCTGCTGTAGGGCCAAGGCCGCCCCAGCCCCGAGTCTGCAGGCAGGGGGTGCTATGACCCCCACCGCCTTGCTCACCGAGGCATGGTAGTTCCCACCTGCCCAGGCTTCCCCATCAGGCAGGGCCAGCACCAGGCAGGAGGACTAATTAAGTGGCCTGGGAGCAGCCAGATAGTGCAAAGCCATCCACAAGATGGCACTCCAAGAAAAGGCTTGGGATGGAGAGTAACTCCATGGTTCCACAGACACACAGGCTGAGGAGAGCACTTGGGACCTGCGGGGTTAAAAACCAAGTGCAGAGCTGGGTGTAGTGGTAGAGGCCTATTATCCTGGCACTCTGGGAGGCTGAGGCAGGAGGATCACAAGTTTGAGCCCAACCTGGGCAACTGAGGACTTAGTGAGACCCCGTCTCAAAATACAGTGGACCCCAGACTTATGAACAATTTGTTCCCAAGGGCTGGTTGTAACTCAGGTTGATCAACTGAAGGCTCAGGCCCCTCTATACAGCCTTCAAAGTCTCTCTCCTATATACAGGCAGATCTCAGGGTCCTTAGAGACACTGGCCCAGGATTTCTCAGTTAACCCCACACAGGAAAGGATGCTGAAATGTTCTTTTCAGAACTCTTTAAGGGTTAAATTTGTATCTGAGACCATTGGGAAGCACAAGCAGCTGGCATTCGGGTCACAACTCAAGACTTTGATGGTAAGTGAAAACTAAAATTCTGGTCATAACCCAAGTTATTTGTATGTCAGGCCAGTTGTAACTCCAAGGTCCACTGCATAAAAGAGCTGGGGATGATGTAGATCAGTGTAAAAGTGTGGGGTTCAACAATCTCTAGAAATACACACACACACACACACACACACACACAGAGGAAGCTGTAACCTGCTTCCCCTCATTAGTGAAGACAGGCTTTAGTTATCAAACCACATCAAAATTTTGATTCCGAAAATGATTTCTATTCAAAACATTCTGAGAAAACCAAACTGAACATGGTAGGAGGGTGTGGGTGCTTCGTGGGTCCTGCCTCATGCAACACAGAGCCCCACTCAGAGCCTGCGATGGCCGGCCTTGGGACAGAGGGGCAATTGCTCCTATGTTGCATGCCCTCAGGCCACCCAGAGCCCCAGGAGGTGGCGGCTCCCCCTTGCACCAGGCTGGAGGACTGCTTGCTGCTTTCTCCTTCCTCCTTATTGCCACCGTCCAAACACCAGGTCTCCAGCATTGGGACTCAGCCCACATTGCCTCCTCCCTCCTCTGCACTGCTGCCTCTCAGGCCCCAGGTCCCAGAGCATCCCGGATCTGTTTCCCTCTCAGCGGCAGCCACCTGCACAATCAGGGCTAAAGAAACACTTGCTGGATGGAGCAAGGGATGAATGAAAAGCTGAGCTCAATTGAGAAAACCCTGTGGCTAACCCTAGGAGAAACTTGAAGCTGGGTCACTCACTGCCCCTTTCAGGGGTGAATAAGCTGTAGGCAAGCAGAATTCTAAGCCTTCTCATTTATGATTTTTTTGTGTGTGTGGTACAAGGAATAGAACCTAGAGCCTTCACACTGGGCTACTCCGTCTGCTCTTTATTTTGAGACAAGATCTTGCTCAGTTGCTCATACTGAGCTCAAACTTGTGATCCTTCTCCTACCTCAGCCTCCCAAGTCCATGAGATTACAGGAGTGCACCATTATACCAGGCTTCTAATTTGAGAACTTTAGTTCTCTTTCCCACCTGATTCCCACATTTGCTAGAGACAGGTAATCATGCAGGTGCAGAAATGTTTTCAGATGTGTGTGCCTTAGGTGGAGCCTGTGTTCCCAGGACCAGCTCAAGCTTCTGTGACAGAGAGACATTCTAATCAACAACTATACATAAGCTGAGGGAAAAAAACACAAGAGACTTCAGAATTTAATTCTGAACCTAAAATAAAACCCAAGTACACAGGTGTGGAGGGGACAGAAGATCTCACTAATAACATTTCACACACCCAGAAATTGTGTTTTCAAATGCAGCCACCTGGGAGCCAAATCCCACCAGCTGTGACTCAAAGGTATTTGAGGGATGCAGTGTTAAGGTGACGGGGTATCGCCTGGGACTGTGGCCCTGTGATGCTGGGGGCTCCACATAGCCTGCCCCAGATCCAGGCCCCTGGATGGCACTTGGGCTTGGAGAGGCTGACCTGAGGTCTGGGGCCGTGCAGATCACAAGGCCAAGGTGTCACCCAGACAACCAGCCTCCCCGCAACACGGCAGGAACATCCAGCTCAAGTGGGAGTGGGACAGGGAGCGTTCGGCTCTGACACCTTGCACACAGGCACTGAGGCAATGAGTGGCTTCTGTCTTGCGTGGTCTGGTAATGGTCCATCCTGTGAGCGCTGATGATTTGGGATGACTGTGGGGCGAGTGAGGGAAGCACCTGCAGGTGCTTTGTAAAAGATCAAGTGCAGAACTAAGTAGAATGAGCCAGGTGTGTTGGTGCAGCCTGTAATCCCAGTACCCTGGGAGGCTGAGGTAGGGGGATCCCAAATTGGAGCCTATCCTGGACGACTTAAGACACTTAACAAGACTGTTTGACTGTCTGAAAAGAAAAAAGTAAAGAGCCGAAGGGTAGAATGTCAGTCTACAACGTGCAGGAAACCCCAGGCAGAGGCACCCCTCCCCCCCAAAGGATGGGTGAGCGGAAGTCAGACACCAGGCTTGGCAAAGTCCAGCTCAAAAGGAGGGGGGAAAGGCAGGACAGTCCCTTGGCTGCTTTTCAGTCTGGGCCTGGTTCATGCCAATGAGCCCCCTGGTGCCAGGATAGGGCACAATGCCACAGTCACTGCTGCCACGGGGCTGAGTGGTGTCCCAGCAGTGCCAGGTCAGAATGACACTCACTCAGCTTTTCCGGCCTGCAGGGCAGCTCCTTTCTCAATAAACCCCATTCAGCCATCTCTTCAGCTGGCTGTGCCTGGGATGGGCCACCTGACATCACATATCCATTCCAGGGGCTGTAGGAAGGGAGACACCAGAGACTGGTGGGAAAGCTCGGGGCTGTCAAACGTACCACGTGAAGACTGATCCCAGGCCAGATGTCCCAGGCTTCTCTGGGATGGGGGCAACTGAGCTCCAGAGCAGGGGCACCTATCTCAGGGCCACCTGGGACAGCTAAGCCAGACTGCAGGCCAAGTACCAGGGACACAAAGGCACTGCAAAACTCTGTTACAGCCAGGCATGGTGTCACACTTGTAATCTAGCACTTTGAAGGCTGAGGCAGGAGGATCACAAGTTAGAGGCCAGTCTGGGCTGCAGAGTGAGTTCAAGGTCTGCCTGAACTACAAAGTGAGACCTTGTCTCCAAAAAACCAAACCACACCAAACTCAACAAAAAACCAACAACTCTAACAGCATCTTGTGAAGGTCCTTAGAAGACAACGTAAACACTAGGTCTCCCTAGGGGCAGAGATCACCTCCTATCTCTCCCCTGCACAGAGTGCCACTTCCATGTCCCATGTCCCAGGTCCTGTCTCCACCCTAGGTGGGAAAGTGGGAAGGCTGGGAGTGCATGAGCTCCCAGCAGCCAGCCTATGCAAGGCCATCCCTGCAATGACCTGCTCTGGCCAGGATGGTTCTTTAGCCCCCGCAGCCTGGGCCATATTTCAGGGCCCAGCTGAGACGTGCCTGGCTGCACTGGTGCCGCCCAAGGCCAGGGTGTTGACAGGCAGGGCAGTAGGAACAGAAGCGCCTCAGTCTTATAGACAGGAACTCAGGCTGAGGAGACAAACCTGCCACAAACAGCCCTAGGGGCAGCCAGCTGCAGTCAGCTCTGGGGCCAGGGTGGCCATCTTGGGCCCATGACTGTCACCATCCAGAGGGTTCAGGCCTCAACCTGACTGGGACCAACCCCTGGGGCTTTCTTCCAATGCCATCCCTGAATTCCAAGTGGAAACAGGGGGCTGCTGGGAAGAGAGGGGAGTATGGCTGAAATATAAGGGGGGTACCATGTGCAGATGTGCCAGACACTTGCGGATACCAGATCCCGGACCCCAGAAGAGACAGGCATAGCTGCAGCTCAGGTCAGGTGATGCCCCACACAGGGGAGGGCTGTGGGTCCTCGGTGCCCCACCCTCGGAGTCTCAGTGGTGGATACTCAGGGCCTGGTCCCAGAACCAGCCACTTCATTCTTACATCCAGTGACTAGCCATGCAGCCAGCAGGGGCCAGGCAGGGACCCCGCAGAACAAAACAAGGAACAGAGGGACATAGGGAAGGCCACCATGCCAGGGAGAAGACAGAACATGGGAACAAAACAACATAACTCGTATCCCCAGAGAGGCCACAGGTCGATCAGCTAAAGGGGTCACTGCATGCCCCAATCAGAGAAAGGAGACTCTCTAAGTCTATCATGGTGGCACTGCTGCATACCAGGGACACCGGGCACCCCCCTTAAGAGTCCTGGGGAAAAAGTGTCAGGGACTGGACATTGTGCAACTTCTTAACAGCAACCTTTGCAGCCAGAAAAAGACTTTAAATTCAGAGAAAGAAAAGGGTCCAACCTTGATCCCTATATCTAGAAATCGATTTATCCAGTGAGAATGAAAATATAACAGTAATTTTGGGGCATGGAAGATTTTTTAAAAATCTAACTTTCCTGTACCTTTTCCCAGGAAAATTCTGAGGGCATGAAGTGCATGAAGGACATTCTCAATTAAACAAAGGAGCAAGTCAGGAAAGAGGAAGCCACCAGAGTTAAGAGAGACACCCCTGCCCTCCTCGGACTTCCCAGATGGCAGGGAAGACGGTTCCATGGTCTGAGGGGC